CTTGAAAATAATAATTGCAGATAACATTAATACTCATTTAAATCAAGGCTGTCATTTATTTCATTATAATCCAGGCATTCCCATACTAAGAATGATATTTATTGACCCCATTTCCTACTGTTGTCAGAAGGGGCCTTGTTGTCCAGTGAGTGCAGAAACCAAACCGCATTATGAATGAGGGAACAAAATGGGGAGAGAGTAGCATATTTTTTTCCCTCTTAAACTTTATGGTTTTAATAAGTTAGGATAAAAAGTTTCAGTGTAGGAGGGAAAACACACTCCTCTCAATACCCACAGAGCACTTCACTTCCGGTCACCAAGCAATTCTGCAACACCAGCTGGTGTCCAACAACTACAACTCAATCAGTCCTGACTGTCTACCTGGAGTGAGCATGAGATCTGACAGGTTAAGGGTGCAGTCCAACCAGAACCCCCTTCAGATGTCAATCTCAAGTCCAGGTTGTTATCTGTGCTTCTCACTCACCGCCTATTGAAAAAAAAGATTTCCATAACCTCCTCCTAGCGATCAATTAATGTGCTAGGGCAGTTTGCAGAACTCAGAAAAACATTTGACTTACTAAATCATCACTTCATTATAAAATAATACAGATGGGGAAGAATCAGATGGAGGAAATGCATCAGGCAAAGTATGGGCCAAGAGGCACAGAGGTTCCATGCTTCCTCTAGACCTGTCACCACCAGCATCTGTGTGCGTTTACCAACTGGAAGATCTCTGAATGCCCTCCTTTGGGCTTTTCAGAAGGCTTCATTACGTATGCATGATTGATTAAATCATTGGTCATGGGTGCTTGAACTCTGTCTTCAGCCCCTCTCCCCTGCCCTGAGTGGGTGGGAGGTAGGGGGACTGAAAGTTCCAAATCTCTAGTCACAGGGTTTGGTTCCCCTGGTAACCAGCCTCTATTCTTAGGGGTTTTCTATAAGTCACTTCACTAACATAAATTCAGGTGTGGTTGAAAGAGATTGTTATGAATAACAAAATACACCTTTATTACTCTTATCACTTAGGGAATGCCAAGGGTTTTAGAGCTCTGTGCCATAAATTGGGACCAAGACCAAATATCTATTTCTCATTATAAATCTCAGTGTCACAGAGGAAGAATCATCTGTGGAGAATGAGGGGGTAAACAATGAGATTGGGTTTGGGAAGAGTGGGGGAGATAAGGAAGATCTCCTTGTACTCCTAGGAAACCCTGTGATGTATTACTGAAGAGCTAGGAACAACTTTATTATGGATGGTATAAGTTATAGTAGATTTCCCAGCAAAGCTCCTGTCTGTCTCAGAGGCAGCATTTATTTCTGCAGCCATGTGCACGAATCACAGGGTGGCAGAAACAACAGAAGAACAGAAGTTGAGATACATTGGAGTTGGGAGGCTTAATTGGAAGTTTGATGTCATGATGGAATGTTGAAAAAGCTTCTCCAATCTCAGTTTCTTCAGCTATGGCATGGGAGTGGGGGTGGGCCTCAAAATGGAATATCCAGAAATTATCTGTGAGTGGCACCTATTCTAATCTGAGATCATTATATACTTTAAGATAGTGGGGGGCGGAGCAGATTTTATGATGGAGGCGAGAATAAACAAAGATATCTATTCCACTAATGTTCTAGAATGATTGTTTTAGGAACTGAAAGGAAAATATACTCATTCAAGGAAGAAAACAAGAAGTAGCAACTCACACCAACTTATAACTTTACAGATTTGTGTTTTGCAATCTGCAATTCTTTCTATAGGTGTTTGACTGATGGATTCACGAAGACCATTTTTATGTAGAGGCCATGTTTTTTATCTCACTGACAAGCTCTGTAAAAACGTAGAGAGCTTAGAACTAACATGGGAATTTACAACAGAATCCACTACAATTTAGAAGGTGCCTTATCAGGTGGTCATCACATGGCTTTTACAATATAATCAAGAGAAATATCAACAAGTTCAATCTCACAAACTATATTAAAATGGACACATTCACATTTCCCCTTTATGTCCACGTCAAAGATAGACCAAGAGGAATTTAAATATCGTGGCATCATATCTGTCACAGCCTCTCTGTCTGGTGGTGTGGAGCTCATTTTTCAAGCTACACGGGTCCATTAACCTTCACAAGAACAAAAATAAAGCAAAGAAACATTCTCTGGAGAAATGCATCGCTTCTAATTCTGTGTATGTATCTTAACTGTGGGGATTTGAAGATGGAACAAAGATCTCTACCTTCCCAGGCACACAAAAAAATACATACACCGTGAAATAAATATATAAAATGTCTACTGGTGCATATTGTATATAAATTTGTGATTTAAAAAGAAATGAGAGTGGATTTAGGGAGAATAATTGACATCATCCCTGTTGAAGCCCTGTCTTGCCCTGTGATTTGTAACTGGGAGGGCCAAAGCATCAACCCCATTTATTTTTAGTGTCTTGGCCTGCCCTTGGTTACCACTTTACCTATATTCATTTATTGAATATATCTGGAAGTATTCGTTTCTAGATAAATGCATTGTCAGAAAGCCGGAAGCCAATGATGAGGTAGAATATAAGGAGTTCTTGCTTGTTTTTATATGTTTCTATTTGACTTAGGAGATAATTATAACACAGATTGATGCTCCCATTTTAAACAAGGTAATAAATCAGCATGAAATATAAGATTTGAGAAAGCCCTTTGCCACATAATTATGATTTCTTAAAATTCCTGTGCTCATTGAATATGAGAAGCTATAATCATGTGATACATAGCAATAGCATTACTCTTTTTCTTTGCCTTTCATGGAAGATGAGCTTAAGTTACAAATTTTTAAATATTATTAGTTTCAAAGTTTAAATATCATTAACTGAAGCAAAGCAAAACTTGTGTTTGTTGGTCTGGGATCTAGCTTCAAATGGGAAAAATTACAGATTCAGGAAGCAAGATTAAAATAATAAATCAGTGCACTTTGTTTAAAAGTCATGTCTTATCCACAAATAAAGTTAGTTTATCATCGTGGGACCATGAATAGTGTACGATTGATTTTCATCAACAGAGAGAGTAGAAGAAAAGTACAGGGGTTTGGAATCAGAAAGAGATACATTTGATGATGTCAGGGGTCATAATCAAAGTATCTATCCACTAGAATTTCAGGGACATAGACCCCTCAAGAGGGAGGAGTTCCAACAAAGGGATCTAGAAATCCCTCTTATACCAGGATTTATACTTTTGGTTTCTGGATTATGGGAGGGGGATGCGGTAAACCTGAGATACTAGATTTAGGAGGCTACTCAGGGTGTGGAAGGAATTAACTGGAACAGATGCATTTCTATACTAACCGGCAGAAGTAGTCAGAACCACTTCTAACCAGTGTAGAAGCAGTACAGCATTTTAACAAGCAGAGGAGTCCTAGTGGTGCTGACTTGCTGTGTATTAGCCCTAGATGGCACCTATTCATTGTTTGCTCTTTGTAGTTGAACCTTAGTGAGCCAGCCAAGTGAGAGAAATGGAAGTGATGAGCTCTTCTGGCTAGTTATTTGTCTGCTCTCCACCTCTTCCAGCTGAAGGTGAACTTAGTCCTCTCCTTTCCCTCTTCCTAAGGCATCTCGTTTACATATCCCCAGAGCAACGGACAAGCCCCACTATAGGGCAGAAGGCCTTCCAAAATTTTAACCAAATGCAGAGAAGAAGCAGAGTTTATGCTCGATCCTGACTTCCAGCTCAGAGATTAACCCAACTGGGAGGTGATTCAAGAATCTCTAGTTCTGCATTTCAAGGTACATTCTGTCTCTTCCTTTCCCCCCCTTTTGGCTCCAATGTTTTTTTGTGCATAAAGGATACAATAGTATCTCTGCACTGAACTGTTTGGAATGCATTCTTAATTATGATGTCTTGTAGCAACAATTTGCACATAAATATCTCTCACTTTAATTTCTCACAAGCTTTTTTTGTTCCCAAACAAAACTGCTTATTATTCGTTCATCACAGTTTTCAACATTGGAGAGACGATTGTCTTATCTCAAAGGATTATCATCAGTGTGTCTCTGTATACCCTGTAAAGCATAACACTTCTTTCTGTTGGAGAGAATCACAACTAAAATCCCATAAATAATTTTGATCACCACATTGTTAAAAAAAAACAAAAAAACATAAAAAATACCACAAGAATTATCAGAGAACTAGAAAACACCTAGAAAATTTAATGAATGATTTAAAGAACGAGATGTACTAACAGTAAAGAGAAATGTTGTGGATGTAAGATAAAGAAAGGTGAGAAGTTTGTTTGCTGTTTCCTTTTTCCATTCCGTATCAAAGAGCCTTTGCTTACAGCCTGTTAATGTAGCCTTTTCTTTTTAAATAGGAAAAGATTGTCAGTGGAAAATATAGTTGATGAAATCACCTAACAATTTACCTTAAGAAAAAAATTTTTTAGATCAGTGCTTCTAAATTTTCTCCACCAAAACCTCCCTTTTCACTATGCTTCTCCACAAATTTCATATTTTGATTTCTTAAACACAAATTGTAGCTACTGAATAAAATTGGTTTTCTTACTTTTAATTAATCAGGGAATTATAACTTTCTAAGCTATAATACTCAGATCTGCTGATGATCATAAAATAACTAAATAACTATACAAAAAGTCTGATATAATTGTAACTAAGGTAAAGATATTTCAAATTGTAAACATCCTACATAACCTTGTCACAGCTAAGGTTCAATGTCTAAATTCTTTGAAATATGAAAATGCTCCCAGGAGACCCACAAGTACTATCTCCAGAGCCCTAGCTATTTAAAGGTTCCAAATGGGGTAGCAATGGATTAAATGAATTTAAAATCACCTAACAAATATGATTCATTCTTATTTGAAGAACTGAATTATTTAACGCAGCATAACTATCTAAAGTGATAGAAGAGAAAATCCTGAAGTTCTTTCAAATCTTTGCTCTCCCACCCTTTCCTCTGCTCCCTCCGTCAGACTGTTCATTGGCTCTGAGCTGCAGGAAGCCTCGGGCATGTACTCACCGGCTTGGTTAGTTGTGATGCTGACCGCAGCAAACTGTCGGGGTGGTGAGCTCAGCTCTGACACCCCGTTAATGGCATCGATCTCAAAGGTGTAGTTAGTGTGTGCCAGGAGGTCTGTCACTGTCACTGTGGTGTTGGTGAGTCCAAACTGTCGAGGGAGGAAGCGGACGTGTGGGCTGCATGGCTCACACTGCTTAACATTCCACCCACATTTTTTACATATGATGTTGAAGGTAACATCCTTCCGGCCTCCTGTGTCCAGGGGCCAGCTCCAGTCCAGGATAACCGAGGTCTCGTTTATGTTAGAGATAACATTTCTTGGTGCAGATGGAGGTCCTGCAAAGTAGTTCAACAAAGATTAATGAGCCTCACTTCTGGTTTCTACTACAAGGGAAAGAGATAATTTACAATGGGACTGAAAGAGGTAAATAACCATCTTGTCTTTATTATATACTTTTAATTTGTCCTCAGAGGATCCCTGAGATTATAGACACATGGATTCAAGAGCACTGTTCTCTCTGAGCTATGAGTGGGGGAGATTTGACTCAGGGTTGAATACGCATTCAGAAAGTCCAGCGAAGGAATTTACCACTAAATTCAATGCCCTTGTGAATAGTTATGAAAACTTTCGTATTAGTTTTATAAATCTTAGCCCTCTTTCCCTCTGACCTATGACCAACATGTAGCAAGAGGGAATAGAAACGTAAAAACACGAATCCCATGCTTATAACCTCCCCTATCCTGTCTAATATCATGCAAAATCTAAAACAAGACACAGAGAGTTTTCGTTCTTTCTGGGGGTCCTGCTGCAGGAAGCGCTTTATGAATTAATTCGTTTTGTGTGATAAATGTTGCATTTGCGGTGAGCCAGGCATGGAGAGCGAAGCAGAGAAAGCTTTCCATTTGCACATGGGTAGCACAAGGAAATGGGCCAAATGCTTAAAAAAAACAACCAAAGCACAATAACACAATAACAAGAAGGGGGAAAAAGGCAAAATAAAATAAACATGGAGGCGTGGGTTGCAGCAAAACTACTCACGGGTACAAGCCATGGATGGAGGGTCTTTGTCTGCTCGGAAGTAATTATTCTCACACCTGCAGTTCATTGAACCATCTTGGTGGGTAGAACTGTGAGGTGGGCACTTAGCGCACTTCATGTTACCATCCGAAGCCTTGTAGAAACCCGGTTGGCAAGCTACGAACAAAATGACTCTTTTAAGATTCCGTACTCATCTTGAAAATGCATTTATGAAAATACGTAAAACAGATTTTAGGGCATGCATTCACTAGGAATAAAAATTCATTTTTCCTTCCAGCATTTACAGAAGCAAATAACATGGCCCAGTGTAATTTCTCCACATATACATTTGAATTTGCACCAAATGTTAAAGAAAAAAAAAAAACCCACAAGATTTAGATTATTTTGGCACGAGAGTGTGATGAAATTTCCAGCTCATGTTTTCACAGCTTTCCTTGGCATTGGAATATTTGTGGAGAAAATAAAGTAAAGCCATGTCATCATGTAGCCGTTCCCTTTTTAAACATGATGCAATGTGTACACGGTTTGCACTGCAGTTAGCACTGTAGTGAGCATGTGAAACACAGAGTTCATTCTTGTGTTATTACTTATTAATTACATGGTAATGGCCTCGAATAAAGAGTGCAATACATTTTCTTGTCTGTATCTCAAATACATAAGGAGGTACAATTTCTATTTAAATAAATATATTTCCTTTTCTATATCTCAAACAAAGGGAGGCACAATTTCTATTTAAACTGATGTACCTGTGACTTGTTACTAGATTAAAGCTTTTTAAAATAACTCTATATTATCTTTCTTTCTGGCCATACATGTGGTGTTTTTTTTAAGCCCAATGACCTGATTATCAAATATGGATTTCAGCTGCCTCTATTATATTATTTTCATTTACTCTTATATAAGACTCAAAAGGCTATACTGTTTTATTTTATCCATTTTTGTAATTACATTGAGAACTAAACTTACGGTGAAAATCCCAATAAGAAGTTCATTTTTTAAAAGAGAGAGAGGAAGGAAGAGGGAGAGAGAGAAACATCAATGTGAGAGAAAAACACTGATCGGTTGCCTCCTGCAAGCACCCAGACCAGGGATTGAACCTGCAACCTGGGTATGTGCCCTGACTAGGAATCAAACTGGTGACCTTTTGGTGCATGAAGTGACATTCAACCAAATGAGCCACACTCGCCAGGGCTCAACAAGTTCTTTGACATTCTTTTGAGGAAGGAATTTGGGGTCTAAATTTTTGCAGTTGCCTTCAGGCATCTTTAGAAGTCAGTAATTTCTTGAATCTCTAAAACTCAATTTCAGGGCTACACTGAAATTCGATTATTTAAAGTACTTACATAATGAATAGGCCCTATAGATTAATTTTGACACTGAATTGCAGAATTTTTTATATCAATTTCATACTATGAATAACAGGATTTTTGCATTTAAATAAAACCTGTGTGGACAAATCTTGACTTTTATAATCGTTAAATGCATTTTGAAAAGTAAGATATTATATCCATAAAAGTATATCTTCCTACTACAAGCAAGATTCTTGGAAAATACACTGCCAAGACATACCATTAGAATAAGTTAAAATGATAGCCATCATTAATTCAGTTTTGCTGTTTTCTAGTTCCGACTAAGAATGGCTGCTCTAGGACCAGGTTAGGTTAAATTGAACAACTTTTGGTGCCACATTGAGAACAACTAAAATAAACTGTATTGTCCTAACCAAACATCGATTAGGATGATAACTTTTTGAATATTGTCTGCAAGCATTGGTTAGAAAGTTCTGTTCATATCTCCTGTTATATTGCCTATGAGGAAGTGAGATAAAGTATGAACAAACGGTGCACGTAACTTCTGGTTTCGATTTAGCTCATCATTGAAGTGCCTTTAAATTTGCAAGGGGGCATTACCGAGTCTTTCAAGATTAAGTTGCTTTGTTATTTTCTTTGCTTGTAAGTTTATCTGTGTGCCTTTATTTGAGGTTGTTATGGTTTTTACAACATTTAGCATAAAGGTATTCTTAAACAGTCAATCACTTTTTGTTGCTATTATAAATAGCTGTACTATGTGATACTTAAAGAAAAGACAAGACAGTCATATAGTTACTTCTTAGCTACAACACTACAGCCAAGGATTCCTGATAGGAACTTGAATACTATCAGTTAATACCTAATCAATTTTGAAGATAAGAATGTTAATTTAAAATAATAACTAGACTTTACTTAATTATAACTAAGTAATCTTAAGGATGACAATAGTACAATATACGTAGGCACATACACATCCAGTTCAATCAATATCTGTCAAGCATCTACTCTTCTTTGAGCTTTTGGTACCCTTAACGATACAAATTCCCTAATTCTATCTGTCCCCAAAGGGCCCCTGCAATAAAAAATGGGCACCAGACATTTAACACAGGCCACATGGAGTGAGGATCCATTCTGATGGAGCTGTTGGAAGAGACTACACAGAGGAATCTCATCTGAGAAAGATCATGAAAAGATGGCAGGAGCTGGCCTGTAAGAAGGGTAATTAAATACACAAATAGATCAACATGAAAGAACAAACGGTTAAGCAGAGGAATGTAGTGGGTATAGTTGGTTACATACTCAACATCCAAACTCTGCTTCCTGTTTGTTAATAGAATCCTGATTGTTCAGAATTGCATCCAACACAGTCCTCCTGCGCTCAGGCTTCAATGCAAACAGTCATGGATGGCCAAAGTTATGGCCAAAGAGATACAAACAGAAATCTGATGAAAGTATTTGGGATAGCTTTTTTTCCTCCCTTCACAAGATGGTCCAAATGTAACTGAAGCCACTTTGTCTACGTTATTCCAGAATTGATTATGGACTTAATGGCTTACAGGTGACAATAAGTTAAAGGCCAAGAAAATCAGAGGATATGTACCCTGCACTTTTTGACCCAGCAAGCACCTGTCTCAAGATTTATTTTAATGTCAGAAAAATAACAACTTGTTTGTTTAAGTTACTGTGGTCAAATTTTCTTTTACTTGCAGCAGAAAGCATTTCTAAATGACATAAAAGACAAAGAGAATTCAGTTGAAATGTACTGATTAAATACAATCATAGCTTAGCAGAGCTAAAAAGATCCTAAGAAATTACATCTGCCAGTCTGTGTGTTCTACATTTTTCTGTAGACACTGTAGTGCAGTATGTTAGGTGAAACAAAGGGACAGGGTCCCTTCTGCACCTTCTGCTGATAGGCTTTAACCATGAATTTATAGATATTCATTGAATGCCAGCTATATAACACTATATAACACTATAACACTAGAGTATATAATATACTAAATTTTGTAGACTTTTTCTGAAGGGCTTTCATATATACCATCCCAATGAAATCTCAACCATTTCATGAAAATAATGAGATGTTAATCCACTTATTTTATAGAATGGACAATTAAAGCACAAGCAGAAAGAGTAATATGCTCAAGATAATAAAGACATCCAGTGACAGTGTGATTAAGAAAGAGATTTTTCTGATTTTAATTTTATATAAATTATTACTAAAAGCAAATTATTCTTTAAACCCATTTCTTAACAGTTCTGTTGGTATGACATTGAAGGATAGTCACCTAAAAATTATTTAACCTTTAAAAGACGGCATTTAAAAGACAGCATCATACAAACTCCATATATTTTCCAGAATCAACTGTACAAATAATGGTTTCTTTCCTTTTGCCTGTAAAAAAGAACGTATATGCTTAGGTTTCTGAGCATTTAATTAGCCCTGCCGGGTGTGGCTCAGAGGTTGAGCGTTGACCTAGGATCCAGGCGATTTGGGTTCGATTTCCGGTCAGGGCACATGCCCGGGTTGTGGGCTTGATCAATGACTCTCTCATCATTGATGTTTCTGTCTCTATTTCTCCCTCTCCCTTCCTCTCTCTGAAGTCAATAAAGATATTAAAAAAAAAATTTTTTTTTAATTATTTAATTACATAAATCCAAGTCTTTTTATATCTATTCTTAGTAAGGAGCCATTTCAGAAAGGCTAATTTTTTCTAGTCTTTCTCTAGGGTTTTCTATTTGATGTCTAACATTGTTATGGGTAGATGGGTGTTTTTAGTCAGAAGGCCTGAGGGAGTCTGTCACATTCAAGAACAGAGTGACCTACTCTATGTGAGAGGCATACAACTAAATTTTCCCTTTCTTACTATAAGCAAAAATCTCTAAATACTCCACCAAAATTGTTGAACAAATTTTAAGGATATAACAAAATAATTTATATTACTAATAAAATTATTATGCTAGAAGGAAACACAGTATACCTCTAAGGGGCAATTCTTTATATAACATACATACTTTTAAATTTTTTCCCTTCAATAAATAATCTCCTTCCTTTGCAGTAAATCAACTTGTGCTTAACTACCTATCTATTATACCTTCTTCAACACCAAAAAGTTATCATGGGAGAATGTGAAACTTTACCTCTAAGGGTCATAAATACTTGTGTGCTTTTTATTTTTATTTTCACCTTTGCTTATCATGGTGAAAGCAATGGTTTTAATTTGAAAGCTTTTCCTTTCTACCTTGACTGTAAAACTAGCGATATAACCATCTGCACATTTCTCTCATTTAAGTATTATCTTAGAGAATGAGAAGGTTCAGAATTTTTAAAAATCCATGCAATGAGTAGAAAGTAAATATGTTATGTTTTCTGTCTTTTTATTACCCAATAGAAGTCTTCATTAACTTATTACAGAATATCAAGGAAAACAGAACAGGCAAGAAGGGTAAACAAATGAATAATAATTCATATTTATCTAGTTTTAAAATAAAGAACTTTTGCTCTACAGTCAAGACCCTTTCTGTTATCTTCACCAAGAAATTCCCTGATTTCTCTTCTTTAGATCCCAAGATTTCAGGTTATTTTGAGCATCTTATAGGAAGAGCACTGGACTAGGAAGGGGAAAGTGCAGATTTTGATCTAGTCTATTCCACTAGATAAGTGTTATCCCAAATTCATTGACCAGGTGTCTTCAAATGTTAATGAGGTGGTTGGGATACTGACTTTCTCTCCTATAAATAAATATGTTTGAAGTTTTACTTCGTAGGTATTATGTATTCCTAGGTTGGGCTCTGAGCAATATAGTTACAGGAGTTATTCCTGTTCATTTTAGATGCCTTGGGTCA